TAAACTTCAACTCAGACAACGCAGTCAGTCCAGTTGCGTGTTTGTGTGTTAAGTGGTTGACGAATGGACTGAGAATCAGACTGTGGTGGCTCCATCTTAATTGTACTATATCACACACACACACGCACACACACACGACAGTTCGACCGTCGATTTCGACGATGTCCACCGTGTGCCCCACAGCTGCAGCAGCGGTGGGAGCAGGGACGGTGACTTACGCAGGGGTTTATAGTGCCAGTAGACTTGCGTAGCATCTACCTACACTCTCTCCTCCTCCCCCGTCTGGGCCCGGTGTCAAGACAGAGTCAAGAAGACCGTAGACGAGGGAGGCCGCAGGTGGATGGCTCGGACGGATCCTCACCTTGGCGTTCCACCACACCCCCTGGTCCACACAATAATGACCAGGATTTCAACCAACACAACAGAGAATTGGAGGCTGGCACGGCCGAAGCCGCACCTGGGCGTTTCGCCGACGCCTGGCTCGGATCCCACACTGTGGTGGGAATGCCATAAAGGCCACATTAAAAAGGAGCCATTGCAGCCTGACTCTCAGACCGCCTCCAGTGAAGGAGGAGGTCCAAGGTACCCTTCCAAGCCAGGGCTTTTAGCGCACCGTGATAGCTTCAAGCGCGTCAGATTGTTTATAGTGAGGAGAAAGTGCGCTGAGTCGTCGACCTCACTCTCCCTTACCATTCCTACACCCCAGCCACTGTCCGAGCCGGTCAGTAGACTGGAGTGGGGAATGGGCGCGGTGGCTGGCATGGTCGACTGACCATGCCTGCGCGCGCCACAGCACGACCTGGCCCCCCATGCACACACAAACACCAGGATTTCACACAACGGGGGTTGAACGGCGTGTCTCTCACTTGCGTGAGAGTGCCGTGGAAGGTGCTGCTTCAGCCAGTCCCCAGCCCACCAGTCCGCCACTCCACACAACACACACACACACACACAACGTGACGAACTGCGTGAACCGAGAGCGGGCCTCAATCAGCAACCTTCCTATCCACGACACTTGGCGTGTCGGGATAGTCTGGGAAACAAGTCACCCGTGCAGCCGAAACCGCATGGGGACCGAGTCGAGATGCACACTTCCCACTTGCGTGGGAGGCGACAGTTGAGTGCGGAGGTGTGTGAGGGTTGATGTCTGGTGGGGTGATGGTGTTAGGAGGTAGGGAGTGAGGGAATGTGTGGTGTGACCGGCGGTTGTCTACCGCAGGTCGTCGTGGATGCGCATGTGGCCGAATAGACCCATGCGATGCGTGAAGGTGCGAGGGCAGTGTGGGCATGAGAGGTCGGCGGTGTCGGTGTCAGCTGCTGAGGAAGCAGTGGTGTTAGAGGTGGTGGCGGTGGTGGTTATCGGCGCGTGTGACGGTGGAGCGAGGATTGGTCTGGGCGTGGTGGATGTGTTGGATGCCGTGGCTGTATCGGAATTGTGGTCAATTCCGCTCTCGTGGATGCGCATGTGGCCGAATAGGCCCATGCGATGCCGGAAGGTGCGAGTGCAGTGTGGGCAGTGGAGGCGAATGCGGTGGGTGTAGGTTGGTGCTCCAGGCACTGGTTCACCAGCCTCTGTACGATGGATTCGCAAGTGACCGACCAGGCCGATGTGTGAGGTGAAGGTGCGGTCACAGTGAGGGCAGGTGTAATCCTGATCCTCATCACTGGAATCGGGAGAGGTGGGGGTGGTGGCGGTTATTGTCTCGGGGTATGTGATGTGTGAGACGGCAGTCTGAACGGCCGCCGCTGGGGCAGTGGAGGAGAAGGAGGAGGATGGAAGTGGTGGTGAAGGAGGAGTGTCAGAGTTAGTTGGCGGCAGAGAGGACGAGGAAGAGGCGGGCGGGGGACGATGGCTGGAGCAGTTCGAGAGGTGCAGTTGATCCGAAGATGTCCAACAAGTCCGATTCGTGCCCGGAATGTCCGTTGGCATCGAGGACACGTAGGGAGAGGTTGTGCGGCGGCGTTGCGGACTGGGCGAAGTTGTTATTTGCGGGCTTCGCGTTTCACTTTGGCGGCTGCGATGCGGTTGGCTTCGTAGATAGCAGCGCCCGTCTTCACTGTTCTCCTCCATGTCGGGCGATCGCGAGCGAGCTCTTCCCAGTTGGTCGGGTTGATTTGCAGGCGCTTCAGGGAGGACTTCAGGGTATCCTTGTAACGGCGAATTTGGCCTCCTTGACGACGAGAACCCGTCGCGACGTCTCCGTAGAAGAGTCGTTTGGGTAGACGCTCGTCATCCATGCGCACCAGGTGGCCGCTCCAGCGAAGCTGCATTTGTCTCAACATGGAGTAGATGCTTAGAATTCCCGTCCGTTCTAGCACTTCGGTGTCGGGGATTCGATCCTGCTAGTTCAGCCTCAGGATGCGACGGAGACAACTGAGGTGGAAGTGATTCAGTCGGCGTGCCTGTCTCGTGTACACCGTCCATGTCTCTGCTCCGTACAGTAACGTCGGCAGGATGACGGCCTTGTACATCTTCAGCTTTGTGCTCAGTTGGAGACCGTGGCGATTCCAAACTGTGCTTCGGAGACGACCGAAGGCTTGACTGGCTTTCGAGATCCTGTTGGCGACTTCGTCATCAATCTTGGTGTTGTGGGAGAGGGTGCTGCCCAGATACGGGAAGTTCTCCACCACTTGCAGTTGATTTCCGTTCACGCTGATTTGCGGCGGCGCGTTGGGGGCTGTGGCTGAGTTGGGCGGCGGTTGGTGCATCACCACCGTCTTCTGCGTGTTAATGACCAGACTGAAATTCTCGCAGGCGGCGGAGAATAGGTCCCTGCTCCGTTGCATCTCCGCTTCGGAGGTGGTGTTCAGGGCGCAGTCGTCGGCAAAGAGGAGTTCGTGCACGGTAGTTGTGGATACGCGCGATTGGAAGTTCATGCGCCGTTGATTCAGAAGATGACCGTCCGTTCTGTAGGCGATGCGGATTCCAGGGCGTTCGTCGCGGTAGGCGTCCATCCGCATGGCAGATAACATAAGACTGAAGAGGGTTGGTGCCAGCACGCATCCCTGCTTCACTCCGTTGGTCACTGCGAATGCCTCTGAGACAGCTCCGTTATCCGTGACTCGCGCCATCATACCGTCGTGCAGCTGACGCACCATCTGAGTGAATCGCTCCGGCCAGCCGAATTTCTGCATGATCTTCCACAGTCCTTCACGATTCACCGTGTCGAAGGCTTTCGTCAGGTCCACGAAGGTAGAGTACAGGTGGGTCCGCATCTCCTGGCACTTCTCCTGAAGTTGACGGGCGGCGAAGATCATATCCGTGGTCCCACGATGACGGCGGAAGCCGCGTTGACTTTCCGGCAGAAGGCCCTGTTCCAGATGGTTGTTGAGGCGGTTGAGCAGGATGCGAGCGAAGATCTTCCCGGCGATGTTCAGTAGGGAGATGCCGCGGTGGTTGTCGCAGACTTGGCGATTCCCTTTTCGCTTGTATAGGTGCACGATAGTTGCGTCCTTGAAATCTTGCGGGACTTCACCTTGACGCCACATCTCCTGGAAGAGCGCAGTCAGGTGATCCATCAGTAGGGGAGCTCCGTGCTTATACACCTCAGCAGGGATTGCGTCCGATTCGGGTGCTTTCCCGTTGGAGAGTTGCTGCACGGCCCTGATGGTCTCCTGGAGAGATGGCGGGAGGTCGAGGTCCACGTTGGTCTCCACTTGCGGCAAGCGGGCGATGGCGGCGTCGGAGATGACGGAAGGGCGGTTGTGGACGTCCTGGAAATGCTCGGCCCATCGCTGTAGGATTTGCGTCTTCTCAGTCAGGAGAGTGCTGCCGTCGGCGCTGAGGAGAGGAGCAGTGCCCTTCGTCGGCGGACCGTAGACAGCTTTGATCGCGGAGAAGAAGTTCTTCCATTCGTTGCGGTCCGCATAGCCTTGGATCTCCTCAGCTTTGCGAGCAGTCCAGGCGTCCTGCATCTCGCGCAGTCGTTGTTGAAGCTGTCGGCGACTGCGGTAGAAGGCAGCTTTGTTGTCCTCTGTGGGGTGATCTACGTAGGCTTTGTGTAGGCGGTTCTTCTCGGCAAGCAGATTGCTGATGGCAGCGTCGTTGTCGTCGAACCAGTCCTGGTGTTGGCGGGGAGCGCGACCGAGGACGGCGAGCGCCGTCGACTGGACCGTGTCTCGCAGTTGACACCAGCGGTTTTCCACGGAGGTGTTCTCGACAGCGGCGGCGGCGGCGTCGTCGGCGGCGGCAGCGATAGGAAAATTGTCTAGCCGTTGAGCTAGCTCATTGCTGAAATGGAGGCGGTGAGCAGGCAAAGACAACAAAGCAACATTCAGCTTACCTGGGGGTCGCTTACCTTGTGGTCTCCTGCGAGGCTGTAGGCGAATACGCATCTTCGAGATGACGAGGCGATGGTCGGTCCACCCGTCAGCACCCGCGATCGCCTTCGTCACCAGCACGTCCCGCTGATCTCGCCTCCGAACGAGGACATAGTCCAGTAGGTGCCACTGGCGCGACCGAGGATGCCTCCAGGTGGCCTTCTCTCGCTCCGGCAGACAGAAGAACGTGTTCGTCAGGATGAGGCGGTGTTCTGCGCAGGCGCGAAGCAGTAGCAGACCATTGTCGTTGGAGCCGCGAAGACCTTGGGGGCCCAGCACTCCCCTCCAGGCAGTGTGGTCTGTGCCGACGCGGGCGTTGAAGTCACCAAGGACAATCAACTTGTCCGCCTTCGACACAGTCGCCAAGAGGGCGTGCAGGTCCTCGTAGAATTTGTCTCTGACGGCGTCGGGGTTGGTCATCGGCGGAGCGTAGGCGCTGATGACTGTGGCGAATTTGGCTCCTCGCCGGAGAGGCAGACAGAGACTCATCAGGCGATCGTTGATTCCCTGCGGCAAGCAGGGCAGTCGTCCCACGATGTCGGTCCGGATGGCGAAGGCGACACCCGCGTCTCTTCGCTCTGCCTTGGGTCGACCACTCCAGAAGAAGGTGTAGCCGGCACCCACCTCCTCCAGTTGACCTTGCTCGGAGAATCGGGTCTCGCTGAGTGCGGCGATGTCCACCTTGTAGCGCGCCAGTTCTCGTGCCACTAGCGCCGTCCTCCGTTCCGGTCGGTTACTCCTCGGATTGTCTAAAAGGGAACGAACATTCCAGGCTGCCAGAGTGAGCGGGCTCACCCTGCCAGTCTGGCGACTGCGGCGGCGAAAAGTAGGAGTAGGAGAAGAAGAAGAATAAGCTGGAAGAGGAAGAGAGCGATTGTTGTTGTTGTTGTTGTTGTTTCGGTTTTGGCTGTTTCGACCGTGTGCTTTTTGTCTGCGGCCACGGCCAGCCTACAGACAGCGTGGTTCCCAGCGATCTTTAGGGCACCTTTTCTAGCCCCCTCCCCCTCGCGGGGGCAGGCAACGCATCCCTGAACAGGGCTGCCCGGTTATCCCAGACGGCTGCCGGACTCCACTATGGGCCACGACTTTTTGTTAGTGAGAGAACGACCCGAATTAGCCTGGGACCTTGGTGGTGAGGTGATGATGTGATGGAGTGAAGTAGGAGAGAGCATACACACTAACTAACGCTAGGGGACTTAGAACAAGAGTGGACAAGCGGACACAGTCATCAGTCAGAGACAAAGTGAGGGCACCACACAAAGTCAAGCATCGTAACACCTAGCTACTAGTAGAGAGTGGCATAGACTGACGGACAGACAATCGCAGCAGGCATCGAGGGTGTCGTTTAGCTATTAACAGTCAGACTAGCATATAAAGGGCAGGCAGCAAGCGCAGCGTACGACGCGGAACTTCAACAAACAAAAGGAAGAAACAAAGCAAACGCACTTACCTGAGGGGGAACTTACCTGGTGGCCTCCTGCGGTGGTCCAGGCAGAGCCTCGTCTCGACGATGTCGACGCGAAGATCCACCCGGCCAGCGCAGACCACAGTACCGCGCGTGCAGGTGCACGCACGGATACCCTCACCTGGTTTAGCCCGCCGGTCGAGACGGTTGCCCGGGGTGTGGCCGCTGAGCAGAGCCCAGCTACGTGGAGCCACAGGGGAGAGTTATGTGCCAGCAAATGGACGCTAGGCGTAGTCTCACCTGCGAGCAAGTGAGCGACTACCACGACCATCACGTGAACCCACCGCTGGACACCCCTACACACACACACTCACACACACACACACACACACACACACACACACACGACAGTTCGTCCGTCGATTTCGACGATGACCACCGTGTGCCCCACAGACTGCATTGTAGGAGCAGGGACGGTGACTTGCACAGGGGTTTATAGCGCCGGTAGACTTGCGTAGCATCTACCTACACTCTCTCCTCCTCCCCCGCCTGGGCCCGGTGTCAAGACAGAGTCAAGAAGACCGGAGACTAGGGAGGCCGCAGGTGGATGGCTCGGACGGATCCTCACCTTGGCGTTCCACCACACCCCCTGGTCCACACAACAATAACCAGGATTTAAACCAACACAACAGAGATTTGGAGGCTGGCGCGGCCTAAGCCGCACCTGGGCGTGCCGCCAACGCCTGGCTCGGATCCCACACTGTGGTGGGAATGCCATAAAGGCCACATTAAAAAGGAGCCATTGCAGCCTGACTCTCAGACCGCCTCCAGTGAAGGAGGAGGTCCAAGGTACCCCGTCAGTTGGCAACCTTCCAAGCCAGGGCTTTTAGCGCACCGTGATAGCTTCAAGCGCGTCAGATTGATTATAGTGAGGAAAATGCGCTGAGTCGTCGACCTCACTCTCCCTTCCCATTCCTACACCCCAGCCACTGTCCGAGCCGGTCAGTAGACTGGAGTGGGGAATGGGCGCGGTGGCTGACATGGTCGACTGACCATGTGAGAGCGGGCTAACCCTGCCAGTCTGGCGACTGCGGCGGCGAAAAGTAGGAGTAGGAGAAGAAGAAGAATAAGCTGGAAGAGGAAGAGAGCGATTGTTGTTGTTGTTGTTGTTGTTGTTTCGGTTTTGGCTGTTTCGACCGTGTGCTTTTTGTCTGCGTCCACGGCCAGCCTACAGACAGCGTGGTTCCCAGCGATCTTTAGGGCACCTTTTCTAGCCCCCTCCCCCTCGCGGGGGCAGGCAACGCATCCCTGAACAGGGCTGCCCGGTTATCCCAGACGGCTGCCGG